TTCTCCCTGTCTTCAAACGAAATGGGGACCATCTCACTCCGTGTTGTCTTCTTCACCGTCAGAACTGTATTCTGTCACGTGGATTTTATGGCCTGGAATGTATCTCTTGATTCTGGATTTCTTGCGTTCTACTCGATATATCGGATGGTCAGGATGAGATCTTGGCCACGCATATTAATCATGGAAGCCGAGTAGGATTTGTCTTATTTCTTCAACGAAATCTTTCGGATAGATATCCGTGTTGTGCAATCATATTCTTCAAGGACTCCTCTGTTGGGTGTTCAGGGCTCAAAGTGTAGATCATTGGGATGATCGCTGAAATTTGTTTTTGAGTTCTGGATAAAAAATCCGGGAGGAAGTTGTCTTTGATGTGCTTTACATCAAACTTCCATTGTGAAAACCAGCTTGCCCATCTCAATAGTTGTGCTTGTGGCAAGACCTTCTGCTTGAACTGGATCATCTCTATGAGGAAATGTTGACCAACCAGATGGAACTCAAACTTTTCTATGCCCTGTTTAACTGCGAGTATCTCCTTGTATGTTGAATGATAATGCTTCTCACTATCCTTGAAAACACCACTTTTGTATCCACAAATGCTCCGTTTGCCCTTTTCATCTTCCTCTAACAGAACAGCTCCCCAATAACAATCACTAGCATCTGTTTGTAAGACTCTYTTGCCTTTGGATGGAATCTTCAATGCTGGAAGAGTTTTTGAGATTCTCTTAAGTTCTTTTACTGCTTCAGTGCATTTCCGGTCCCATGGTGGAGCATTCTTCTTAAGTTGTGCTGAGAGTACACTTCGCTAAATCATGAATGAAATCCGCCATGTAATTGACAATTCCAAGGAATTGCTGCACTTGCTTGAAAGAGAGATTATCATCTGGAAATTCGTCAAGCTGAGTTGCAATGTGGGGCTGGAGATGATATTATCCTTTTGAAATGTGCATGCCGAGGAAATCTATTTCAGTTTCTCCAATGGCCATCTTCTTCTCAGAAAGCATGATTCCATACTGTTGTATTATCTTATGGCACTTT